ATAACAGCTTCTGCACATTCATTTTGGGATTTAGATGCCTAAAGAAATAGCATCTTTGTCATATGTCTTAATTACTGTGGTATGCCTAGATGTTAGAGGCACAAGAAATGTGCCCTCGGTAAGTCAAAAATTCGCCCTGGTCATTGTAATGTATATGTAATGAGACTAGTATCTCCCACCATGTCCGTTTTTATTTAAACTTTCTTTGCTCTATAAACTAACCCAAACCCTGTCAGAGTCGACATATGAGCAACACTTGCAATTTCTGTCATCGATACCACTCATATTAGTTACAATTTCATGGCATATTTTGACAGACGAGCCTGACAATCGTTAAGATATACAACGAACACACGTAAATAAACATAAATCTCTGTGCTTAATAAATATTTTCACTGGTGTCTTATCTCAAAGATTATTGTAAATGGTACTCACAAATCCAGTAAATACTTCGCGGCCAGGCCATTCTTCGTATCCATGGCCACCCAAGCAGGTTTTCATCTGCCTTCTTCCTCGCCGGTGTTTATTGTTTGCCTGTCGTACATTTGCTGATACACTGTTTTACGCATGTTTTTTGTAAAGGCTGTTTCTTTTTTCTTTTTGTTATCTGTCTTCGCTTCTTCGAAGGACTCCCAGCATAACTGAGCCTCCTGTTTCACGTTGTCCTTTCCCGGCAGCTTGAACTGGTTTTAACTAGGTCGCAATACGAGAATCTCGCGAGATCCGGAAGTCTAGAGAGCTCAATTATGAAAATGGAGGTGGTTGTTGGTAAACCTCCGCTTAAGCGGAGGTTTTCTTTTTATTGTATTTTCCAAAAATGTTACAGAGCGATGGCGAGTGCCGGGAATGATAGATTAAAGGTTGGTAAATCGCGGAAAAGTAGTTTTAACCTCGGGATAAATCAGGATAAATCAATTTTGGCGCGAAAATCCTCTTTTGTGTCCTTTTAAGTAAAAATGTCTGTTTCTCATATACAAATGATTACAATGTTATCATTAAACTTTTCGCTTTATACACAAAATTGAAGCTATGCCTGACAAAGGAAGGCATAATTATACAGATTGAGGAAGGATACGGAGTGACCGAAAGCTTTGTAAGGTAAAATATAGCTTTAATTACGCGTAGAAAGTGAGAAGTTGAAACTTATGGTAATTAACAGACTACATATTATTCTTAACTCTTGATTAATATTAATCAATTATACCAATTTGTATCGGTTGTTTCTACTTTTAGGTCGATTTTAGGGGTCATCTTAGGGGCCCTAGGCCAGTTTCAACACAGGTTGTTCTGAATACCTTGTCTTTCAGTATTCCTTCCGGCCCAATCACGTGATCAAAGATGTGTTTTCCAACATGGCTGTCGACTGCGCTAAGAGGGTCGTCCATGAGGTACACGTCACAATCCTGGTACACCGCTCTGGCCAAACTCACTCGCTGCTTCTGACCACCGCTTAAGTTTACGCCCTGGGAAGTAAGAGAGTTGTAACCTAACAATGAAGCTTTTTCATTTTGTCTTTTCTTGCTTTAACGTGATCCTTGCAGGATGTTGGCATGTATGCAATAACTATTATCCTTTTGACAATTATGAGGTACCTGTACAATGAACATGTAAAATATTATACTGTATTTTATTTCGCAACAGTTGTGTGCAACTGAGCTAAATAATTAATCAATATAGGATTAAAATGCAAGGAATTAATTTTCGTATGATAAAAAGATTATGAATGTATTTTAAATTCGACATCTGTGAAAGCAATTAATTAAAACCTTTTCGCCAATCTCTGTTTCATCTCCAACTGGGAGAATCTTTAAATCCTGCTCCAAGGCGCATGTGGAAAGACACCTCCTGTATAGGGATTGGTTCCACTGTTTTCCAAATTGGATATTTTCTTTGACAGTTTTGTTTTGTATCCATGCTTGCTGTGGGACAAAGGCCACGGAACCCTAAAATATGGTCATTTTGATAAATGATTGATCACTAGAGTTTTGTGTACGTTGCACGACAACATGTATTCCAGGCGGGTTATAACACGTGCAGTAGCTTACTGGAATCATATACTAATATCATATTTGAACTCGTACCCTAAATCGTGCCTCAAGGTAGCCCTTTACTACATGTATGTGCGTTTGCAAATGCCCCAAAATCACAACTGTCCATGTATGTATAAGTACCCTGCAAAGGAGCCAGTTCTTCAGTTAGAAATGGCACAGAACACTGAATCCAAGTGCAGGAGTCATTCGAGGAATGATGCGTGAATATGATAAAATTTCACTTTTCTCTCGGAAAATTAGTTTTAGTGCGAATACATTAATACTAGTACATGTTATAGACAAAGCCCTTACCGTCACATTAATGTTCCCAGATAAACACTCCATGTCTCCTAGCAGAGCATTGCGTAGGGATGACTTCCCACTTCCAACCTGTCCTACCACAGCCACCAGAGAGCCAGGGGGGATTTCAAAATTCAAACTGGAATTGAAAACAATGTAAAATGTATGCCAAACACTAGTTTTAATTTAGCTAACACGTTTAATGATTTAAATAATTTTCAGTTAACATTATTTGACCTCACACACACACACACACACACACACACACAGCATTTCGTGGGTCAATTAAAGACCATTAAAATCAACTGTAAAGCTAAATGCAATAGGCGCAAATACGGTTTTCATATTCTATAAAAAACGTCATTTTATCCATATTACCACTGATGTCATTTATGATAAAATCACAATTTTTCAAGGATTTCTTAACACATACGTACTGCTTTAGAGTCGCCAGCTCGTCTCTGTTCCAGGTAAAATTACCATCTTGCACAGATACAGTGCCATCTGAATAAGTAAACAAATGAACAGACGAACATCTGCTCAAGCATTGTAAAAGTTCTGTATTCACCAAATCTACATAGTCGCTTCTTCAAATTTAAATCTCATTTCGGTTCAGCTGCTTAATCAATGAAAAGATTTTCAGGGACCTGCACGGTATAAACGCGTCACTGAAAGAGCTCTGTTCCGTTATTTTTCTTGTTAATAAAAAATTTTCATGGAAATATAACACAGTTTAAACAGAATGTATATAAACCTTTGCCTTACACGATACTGAATGGTTCAGACTCCCTGTATGAAGAAGTAAAGAAAGGAGAATAATTGAATCGGATAAAATATTCCTTACTAGTTGACTTGGTTCTATCGACCATGTCTGTATCCAGTTCTTCTTCTACGAGGAATCTAGTAAGTCTCTCCAGAGAAACTCTACCCTGGGTAAACAACACAATTCTGATGTAATAAAACTTCAATAATTTCACATCGCTATATTAAAACAGACATCTTTTTTTTTTAATTTTGCATAAGAAACTTAAACTGACACACAAATATAGGCAGTCATACAAACAGCCAGGTTAACATACATGCAGTCTATCAGGCTGACAAACAGACAGACAAACGCGCAGGCAGGGTGGCAAACATAGGGAAAGTCTAATAAAAAAACTTAATTTCTAAGGATCGTGAAAAAATCTCTGCCAAAGTATAGATGCACTCAGTCAGACATACGGACAGGCAGGGAGGCAGATAAACAGATAGTCAATCTGACAGAAAAACAAACAAACATAGAGGTAGACTAAAGCCTAACAGACAGACAGACAGACAGCCACACAGGCAGATTGATGAAAAGACCGGCAGACCACAGGCAAGCAGAAAACTAGCACATCCAGATAGAGATGCGAGTGATCGGTGTGTATCCATCTGACGTTCACTCGAACAGCCAGGCCCAGACACTGTACAGCTACAGTTACTCACTGATCATTTATAGGCAAATTGCGTGTTACAATTAACAGACAAACAGAAAAAAGGCGGACTGACAATTTCAGGCAGACAACGAGGAAGACGATGGGAAGCATAGTTATTCAGGTTTCATTGGTCTGCAAAAAATGTCCTACAAATTTTATCGCAGGGTATGCCACTGGGACCAACCTACCTGTATCAAGGCGCTTATGGATATGGGGACGCCAGTCACGTACATCTTGACGATTGTGAATAACGATAAACACACAAAAGCCGTGTTGGCATCAAGAACATTGCTGGGATCTGAGAGCACATAGGCAGCAAAACTTGCCAGGGTCATCTGAAGGCATAAACAAACAGATATAAATAAAACCCCTTAGGCAATATGCACAACACTGTTACATGTGCCAATGGGCAGCATTTATATGGTATTACATGTACGAAAAGTGTTTCGTCTGTACTTTTGCATCTATTACCGAGCATACCCGCAAGAAAATGCAGTAGTATCGAAGTAGCAAAGAAGCATCAACGCAGTAGTGGTGTGGAGCATATTTGCAGTAGAAATGCAGTATAGCCTACTGCAATTCTACTTCAAAAATTACATAGGGTTGTACAGAGGAGGAGCATAAATGCAGTAGATTAGCAGCATGATAGAAGCATGTTTCAAATATGCTAATTAGCTCCCACATCGAAGCAGATTTGAAGCATGTTTGCAGTATGATTGCAGTAGTCTACTGCGCTGGAGTATCTACTTCATTTTCGTGCGGGCACTTACACACAAATACAATTTGCATTTTCATTTTGAAAAAGAGGACAGATACCAAACAAATCGGACTCTAAATTTAGCCCACTTTTATGATCAGACTCACCACCAGCGGCGTAAGAAACCAAATGGTACAAGTGAAAGCATAAGCAAATAAGAAGTTTCTTAGTGAAGCAAGTTCCGAGTCACGTATTTCGGTCACTTTGTTCAGAAATGGCTCCTCCCAAGCGAACAATTTCAAGACCTGCATAAAAAAATATAGCCATGGTAATTATATCATGTAGGACGATAACAAATACTGAATATCATTCAATACATTTCAACGGTGTGAATGATTAATTATCTGGCATGAAATCGTCTATTCTGAAAATGTTTCCAAAACTATGACCCTAATGTGTTGTTCGATATCAATCCCAACATACTGAACAATTGCATAAAGGAACTCTCCTAAATCCGTTTACTAAGTCATTTTGTTACAATGTATCACCTTGTAATTGTCAACCTCCGTGCATTTTTCTATGTAATTTTGCTATAACCCATGCAGCATATGATGACAATTAATATAATATCGAACTTCCTTTCTATCAACAATCAACGTTTGCAACCATGCATTTATTGATATTTGCGATGACTTTTGACATACTGCACAAACCCAATACAAAAATACT